TTTTTTTTATATTAATTAATTATATTTAAATAATTAATTTAAATAAAATGTTTAATAAAAATAAAATACTTTATCGATAACATTATTTAGGTATCGTTATTGCACAGTAAAAAGTTTTAATTATTGAACATATTGGAAACTTGGCGGTTTTGATATCTTATATTTAAAACAAAAGGCAGTTAAAAGAAATATTTTAAATGAAAGCAAATTATAAATGACAACAAGACGAAATTGTTTCTATTAATCAAAAATCGTCTGCTCATTTGTTTTCCTTATTATTATAATTGTTTGACAATAATTTAAATTTTTTTTTTTTCGGTTTTTGTTTTTGTTTTGTTTTGTTTTTTTTTTGTTTTATTATTATTATTATTATAAAATCGTAGACAATTTTGTTATTAATATTAATTTGCGTGAATGGAGGTAATAATAGTTTTATTTTTTTTATTTTTTTCCTTTTTTTTTTATTCTCTCTCTTTTTCCAAAACGAAAATATCACATTTCGTTTGTGTAAAATGAAAGAACCGTGTGCTTTCGTCCTAATGTGTTTTTAATGACATTTTGAAATGCTCTCTCGAGGATGATGATGATGATGATGATGATGATGATGATAATGATGATGACGACGATATAATGATAATGATGATGATGATGACGGAAAATCAGAATTGCCTCGAAGGAGAATCGAGACACGTAATGATGGTAGTGATAATGATGATGACTGTTGCAGTGGTGATGGTAATGACAGTCATCATTACCTCATGACTTTAAATAACCATCATCAGATATAATGACTCATCTCCTGGATCAATATCTCCTTTTGAGTAAAATGTTTATTTCTTTTCAGTTTTAATCTTGCTCGCGTAAGGGTGTGTTCTTTCTGTTCCTTTTTGTTTTTTTATATAAATATAAAAAAAAATATTGAGTAAAATTTTAATGATTTAAAATGGAAGAGTCAGATAATCAAAAGTTTTGTTTGAAGTGGAATAATTTTCAAAATAATTTCATGTCTCAGTTTGAAACTCTCAAAGAAGATGAAGATTTTGTTGATGTGACTTTGTCTTGTTATGGACAAAGCATAAAAGCTCACAAAGTTGTTTTATCCGCTTGTAGTCCTTATCTTAAGAGTATATTTAAGGTTAGAGACTTAACTGACTACTTAACTGAGAGTGATGCTAACAGTGGTTGTGGTTATAGTCTGCTCATGTACTACTACTCACTATTTACTTTTAGGAACATCCATGCAAGCATCCAGTAATCATCCTAGATAATTTATCATACAAAAATCTTGAAGCTGTGATACAATTTGTTTACACAGGGCAAGTTTATGTTGAACAAACTGATTTGCCATCATTTTTAAAAGCAGCAGAAGCCCTACAAATAAGGGGATTGTCAAATTTAACCAATTCAACTGAGAATTTCATAGAGGTAATCATTTTATGTCATATTGATTTTGCAATTTAGCAAATTTTTTTATCTAGTACTACTCATGTTAAAATTCAAATGAATTTAACTTGTTTATTGTACTTTTTTTTCAAGCCTGCCAGTACACCACAAATAAAAAATACAGAAAGTATTGTTGAAATATCGAAAAAAAGGAAATTGGATGAAATTGAAGTGGGAGAGAAATCATTGAGTAAAAAAACACCTGAAAAAACTACCTGCATAACCAACGCAGAACACTCGAGTGAACCAAATGTAAATATTATTATTATTTTTTTTTCAAATAGTTTGATATTTTATATGAATTTACAATTTTTTAAATATTTCTAAAGTTATAAGATTAATATTAAGTAATTATTACATAC